CAAACTAGAGCTGAATGTTGTAAAGCTGACAGTAGCTTTGCAGATGCTTCTTAAAACTGTACACATTGCTCTTAAATAAGATAAAGCCCATGGAAACAAGGCCTTATTCCCCCAAAAAGATGTTTCAAATAAATACATACATTTTATTTAGATTGCTGAATTTAGAGTAAGCTAAAGCCAGTGCAAGTCTAAGATTTGAAAATGTCTATTTAAAACACTGTTTCTAAGTTATTATAGCAGAATGTGTTTGATGTTAATTAGTATGTCCTTAAACTGAATTCTTGAGTACTAGAAAATGTACAGAAATTGGCGGAGCTGACCAGTGCTAGAACTAATTGGTCACATTCAATGTACATTTTATGCTTCTTATTTGTATTGAAGTCATAGAAGAGCAGGGTTCACACTGCATTACTCATTTTTAACATTAGATGGCAGCATAACATTACACACAGCATATCACTGTATGGCGCCCTACTAAGTGCTATAATAAATACATCAACACAAACATGTTACTAGTGATGGAGAATGACAACTTACCGCTGTTTTATTTAACAAAAGCCCTGTTGCAAAAGCAAGGCTTGATATAGCAAGAAATTAGATGATGATCATTCCCACACTATACTGTATACACATACACACTCAATGGCCACTGTATCTATTGCCTAGGCAGGTCCCCTTTTATTTTCAGTAAGGGCTCTTTCATACTGGCATGTAGGGTGGGGGTGTGAGGGAGAAGGCAGAGCTCAGTCCTGCAATGTTAAATTGACATTCAGCAATTAAAAAAAAAACAGGTGTCAGGAAGCAGCAGTAGCACCTGCTGAATGCCTGCCAGCCACTGCTATACCTCCCTCTGAAAAGCGATCCACCATGAATCACTTTTCAGAGAACAGTAAGCATTACCACCTGTCTGAAAGCCCATAAGCCTGAATTTCTTCAGGAAATTCTGGAAAACATTTCTAAACCATTTTTAATCCATGCTGACTAAATACATGCTGCAAGTTTTTTTCCTTTGTCTAAAGCAGGGGGCCAGTTTACTGTCCTTCAGAGTTTAGGAGGACCAGGCTGTGGCCATTGGGAGCAGAAAATGTTCCAACATCAGATAGAAAAAACAATGCCCCAACATTGGTGTCAGTGGGAGGAATTGTGCCTCGTCATTGGTGTCATTGGGCCCCATCATTGGGCGTCATTGGGAAAAGTTGTGCCCCATTTTGATGCCATTTGGAGGAACTGTGCCTCATCATTGCTGTCATTGGGAGAAATTGTGACCCTTTATTTGTGTCATGGGGGGGGGGGGGATTATGCCACATTCCTGGTGTCAGTGAATAAAATAGTGAACCAAGGGTCGGATGAAAGCAAGCAAAGGGCATCTGGCCTCCGGGCCACAGTTTGGAGACCACTGGTCTAAAGGATTCTTACTGTGTATGGTAAATTCTAATCCTACTATCTGCATGTCATGGCAGAATCAAGATTTATCAGACAGTTTTGCCCACTGCAGCCTAATTTTCACATGTGCCTTGTTTGCCCGCAGTTTGTGAGATGCTGTAACCAACATGTCTGGTTTACATAACATATCTGCCCCATTATAATGTTTGGTTGAACATCACATGACCTCCTCCTCCTCCATGTCTGCATGCTTTATGTATTAAGGTTGTAGCCATGTGATTTTCTGTTTGAGTAAATGAGCTGTGTGCATAGAGAGAGCTGGGTGTGTAAACAGAGGAATAACATTCCATGGTTTCAAAGCTTAGAGTTGAACTTTGTCCAGCTTTAAAAAATTTACATTTGGGTGACCCCCCCAGTCCCATTATAGTAAGGTCTAATTCTATTTCATCTATAGGGCATGTAATAAAGAGCATTACCTACTTAATGCCTCGGTCCTGCAGGCTTCCTCCCCCCGGTTCCGATATTTACAACCAGTCCAACAAAACTATTCCAGTTCTCCAGTTGTGTGACCTCCCTCTGGCCAACTTCATCACGTACAATGGATGACCAGTTGTTTTGCATCATATGTCCGGATGTCGAGGACCCACCCACGTTCTAGTTGTGGAATGGGAGTAAGGAAATGACTGTCAGGCCCCATTCACACCTTTGCATTCCAGGAACACGTGTAGAAATGCGCATTTCTGACAAACTCCCACAAACACATGAAAAATGTGCCAAAATGCACATTGCATTGTGGTGCCATTATTTCCTAATGGCAGCCCAAATGCAGCTAGGAGATGTGCGTTTTGTCACATGACAAAATGCACATTACAAATAGCACGAGGCTCACTGCCAAAAAAAAGGTGCAGGAGCTACTTTGCTACTCTGGTGTGTTTGTTCAAGTGAATAGGCTGCCCTATGCTGTCACATGGCAAATTCACAAAATTATGCGTGACAACGTGTTGCATAGATGTGACTGGGGACTCAAGTTAATGAGAAAATAAGGTAAGTATATTGTATTACATGTCCTTAGACTAAATAAGTGTTAAACCCATAACATACAAGGAAAAGGGGTACCCAAACATGCCATACTCTTTGATCCATCTAGTTCAGTGCAAACCCCAAGCTGTAGGGGGTGCTGTAGGAATGCATGCTAAGGCTTTGAATAGGTGCTCCCATCTATAAACATAACAGAACTGAGGCCATTCCTCAATACTAAATGTTTCTGAGCTCACAAAAATGATTTGTATGTACAGTGCTCTCAGATTTAATACCATGTAGCGTTTGCTTTAACCTTTTCTTTGTGACATTTAATAAACGGAAAGGGCAGCCACAGTATGAAATGTGCACCGTTTATATAGGATTTCACAGGTAAATAATGCCAAGCCAGCCTGGCAGTGAAGATCCCGTTTTTACAACCCTGTAATAGAAGAAACACGTACTGAGCATTCATTAAAAGCATTGATCAATGGGACAAAACATTGTAACTATTAAGGCTGAACTCTAGGCAAATTGCTCAATACACATACACACACAGTGTGTGTGTATATGTATGAATATATATATAATTATTAATTGACACATAAACAGTTGTGTTCAAAATAATAGCAGTGTGTTGAAAAAAGTGAATAAAGCTCAAAATCCTTCTAATAGCTTTTATTTCCATACACACAAATGCATTGGGAACACTACACATTCTATTCCAAATCAAAACATGAAGAAAAATATCAAATTTGTGTTGTTCCTCTAAAAAAATGGAAGAAAAGTGAATATTAGACTGTTCAAAAAAATAGCAGTGTTTGTATTCCACTTTACAAACTCAAACATTCACTATATAAACTGAAAAATGTTTGAAGATTTTGCTTTCCTTTGAATCACTTAATTAATATTTAGTTGTATAAGCACTGTTTCTGAGAACTGCTGTACATCTGTGTTGCATGGAGTCAACCAACTTCTGGCACCTGTGAACAGGTATTCCAGCCCACGATGATTGGACTACATTCCACAGTTCTCTATTTCTTGATTTTGCCTCAGAAACTGCATTTTTGATGTCACCCCACAAGTTTTCTATTGGATTAAGATCCGGGGATTGGGCTGGCCACTCCATAATGTCAATCCTGTTGGTCTGGAAGCAAGATGTTGCACGTTTACTGGTGTGTTTGGGGTCATTGTCTTGTTAGGCTGCTCAGCTAAAATGATCGCAAATGCTTTAAAGTGGCAACCAAAACCTGAAAGACGTGGAAGAAGAGCGAAAAACTACCATTCGAATGGATAGAAGAATAGCCAAAATGGCAAGGACTCAGCCAACAATCAGCTCCAGGAAGATTAAAGAAGGTCTAAAGTTCCCTGTGAGTACTGTTACAATTAGAAGACGCCTATGTGAAGCCAAGCTATCTGCAAGAAGCCCCAAAAAGTCTCACTGTTGAAAAAAAGACGTGCTGAAGAGGTTACAATTTGCCAAAGAGCACATTGACTGGCATAAAGAGAAATGGCGCAACATTTTGTGGACTAATGAAAGTAAGATTGTTCTTTTTGGGTCTAGTGGCCGGAGACAGTTTGTCAGACGACCCCAAACACTGAATTCAAGCCATAGTACACTGTGAAGACAGTGAAAACATGGTTGTGCAAGCATCAAGATATGGGGATGTTTCTCATACTACAGTGTTGGGCCTATTTATCGCAGATTTGTTTGACGACTGCTGTCTTTCATGAATCTATGCTGTCTGTTGCTTAAAATATTTTTTTTCCAGCAAGAACTCATCTTTGTGGTCTTTTTATTAAACTCTCCAATATCTTCCCAACTATAGAAGTTAAACTAATAAACTAACAGGTCTATAATTACTTGGTAAGGATTTTGACCTCTTTTTATATATATATATATATATATATATATATATATATAGTATTAGGACGCCTGCCTTTACATGCACATGAACTTTGAGTTGGCATCCCAGTCTTAGTCCGTAGGGTTCAGTATTGAGTTGGCCTACCCTTTGCAGCTATAACAGCTTCTTCTGGGAAGGCTGTCCACAAGGTTTAGGAGTGCATCTATGGGAATATCGAGCGAGAAGGCCTGCCTCGCAGTCTCTGCTCTAATTCACCCCAAAGGTGTTCTATCAGGTTGAGGTCAGGACTCTGTGCAGGCCAGTCAAGTTCATCCACCCCAAACTTGCTCATGCATGTCTTTATGGACCTTGCTTTGTGAACAGTAAGGGACCATCTCCAAACTGTACCCACAAAGTTGGGAGCATGAAATTGTCCAAAATGTCTTGGTATGCTGACACCTTAAGAGTTCCCTTCACTGGAACTAAGGGGCCAAGCCCAACCCCTGAAAAATAACCCCACACCATAATCCCCACTCCACCAAACTTTACACTTGACACAATGCAGTCAGCCAAGTACCATTTTCCTGGCAATTGCCAAACCTAGACACATCCATCAGATTGCCAGACAGAGAAGCGTGATTCATCACTCTGGAGAACATATCTCCATTGCTCTAGAGTCCAGTGGCGGTGTGCTTTACACCACTGCATCCGAGGCTTTGCATTGCACTTGAAAGGCTTGGATGCAGCTGCCCGGCCATGGAAACCCATTCCATGAAGCTCTCTATGCATTTTTGTTGTGCTGATCTGAAGGCCACACAAAGTTTGGAGGTCTTTAGCTATTGACTCTGCAGACAGTTGGCGACTTCTGCGCACTGTGCGCTTCAGCATGCACTGATCCCGCTCTGTCATCTTACATGGCCTACTACTGTGTGGCTGAGTTGCTGTTGTTCCCAGTTGCTTACACTTTGTTATAATACCACTAACAGTTGACTGTGGAATATTTAGTAGCGAGGAAATGTCACGTATGGACTTATTGCACAGGTGGCAACCTATCACGGTAACACGCTTGAATTCACTGAGCTCTTGAGTTTGTAGAAGCAGTCTGCATGCCTAGGTGCTTGATTTTATACACCTGTGGACATGAAGGTGATTGGAACACTTGAATCCAATGAATGCATCTGTTCATTCAGTTCTAAGATTTACACAGCACAACCAGGCAGATGACACCAATTTCACTGTTACAATTAAAGAATACATTGCCCACACCATCCTGCCCCCAGTCTACTGATTTTTTAGCAGCAGCAAGCTGATCAGGTCATGCCTCTGTTTACTCTGCTCTCTCCTCTTATATCCTAGTATATTTGCATGTGACACAGTTGAATGTCTCCAAGCACTGCCCCTTCTTGTCCCAGTGCTGCTGTACAGGGGAGTGCGAAAGACTGAAATCAACTTTATAACACATGTCAGGGCATAATTAAAAAAAAAAATATACTGTATATATGCAGTGCATCTCTGCAATACACACACATCCCCCTATGTTTTATCTGTTTTATTGCCAGTTCACACTGGAATCGCACAGGAACATGCTCTGTGATTCTGTGCAATTCAGTGCAGTGCGATCTTTAGCCCATTCATTTCAATGGGCTGAAATCATACTGAATCGCACCACAAGTTGTAGATCTCATGATACTACGGTATCACGCACTGCGTTTGCGATCTGCATTTGGGATGTCATTAGGTATCTATTCACATAAAAGGAAGCAAAGGAAGTCATGGACTTTCTCGGTACCACAAAGACAAAGAGCAAACAACTTTAAAAATGTCAAAGTTTATTACAAAGGTCTAAAACAATACAAAGCTCATAATTGAAAATTATTATGCAAAGATCCCCTCTAGCTGTAATGTAGTAAGTAGTAATGAATCTATTGACACCCGCAGCAGATCGCACACCCACTGCGTTTGGAATGAGGTGCAGGAAACCCACATGGAACGCAGGTTTCCTAAAATGAGTTGAGATGCAAACGGGCCCTTAAGACCCTGCAAGTACAGAAAAGTAACTATTGATCTGACAGAATTGCAGTCAAATTCCAAGTCTTATTGTGGGCTGACAACACACAGCATTTGTTCTGCTTAGTGGTGTCAGCCCTGCCCAGTTTTATTTTGCTAAACTAATCAAACCTTCCCGCTGTCCTCATTTTTACATGATAAACACCAATTATTCTGATAAGACAGGGCCTAGGAGGGCTTATTCTTGAAATAGCACAAGAAGTGTGCCTAGGACATCTGTGAATTTCTGACAATATCAACAAATATATTTTTACAGCTATCACAGATATAAAAAAAATTTTAATGGTATATTTTCATGTTTTAAATGGTATATTTAACAGACTGCAAGGTAGCTTATCAGAGAATATCTAGGTTTTCATATGGAAAAACTACTGAAACAAATGCATATTCCTGTTATTTGTACCCAATGCGACTTTTACATAACTTGTGCAGCACCAGATGTTTAACCAAAATTATACAGAAGCTGTAATAGTCGGCTAATTAAAAGTATATCACATAAATTAGATTTTTATGCCACATAGCAGAATAGTAATGTTGAAAGTGAACTACTTACTTAGGGTACCCATACTGCACTTGTGCACACTCCCCTTTTTCTGGGTCTGAAAACTCCTTCCTATCATCAGCAATTGGTCAGCCATGGGTGATGGTAAACCTGCACATGTCCATAGAAGTTACGTTGTCCCAGTGCCTGACAATTTCTGTTTAGTACAAGTTTACATCTAAATTTACTATCAAAGTGAACCTGTGCCCAGATCACGCACGCTAAAGTGATCATTTTAAGAACAAGCAGAAACAGGCATGGTGGGGGCAGCACTTAGACCCGAGTGTCCTTACTGGCATGTTCAACCCTCTGGACCTTACAATATCCTCGGCTGCTATAATGCTGCCAGCTCAACACCAGATGCATCCTCAGCCACATTCAACTGCTGCAAACAGAAATTGCAGTGCTAAAACAATCCAAATATATGGTGTCTCAGCATTAATTCAATTAAGTGCAACAATATAAATCATATACAAAAAATGAAGTCCACTAGTGCTCTGCTGACACAATTGTGGACTATAGTAGAATGAGCTGTATAGTCCCACTGTCCACTATAAAGAATCTTCACCCAATGATCCAGGACAATCAGGAGTGTGACCTACACCAATGGCTGAAATGAAAACTCACCAAAAGATGTTGCTGTCTAAAAGTAGAACAGCAATATACACTTGTATAATGACAAACTTCCAAGGTGCAATCCTCCAATACATCAGGAAAATTAGTTATCCTCTTCACATCGCATTCCACCAGATGTCAGTACATGCACTATAAGGGGTTGCCAGACACTAGGAATGGCGGCACGACCTCCAGCAATAACACCGACAACCCAACATCGTTTTGCATGGCAGTGCGACCTCAGGGGTTTCCCCAGCTGCTGTCTGGGAGTTTCCTATCATTGACCAAATTTGGACATTACCATATGTGGGTAATGTTGGCAGTACACCATATGAACTGCAGCCCCGTTTAGCTGCTGAACAGGAGATTCCCACCATTGACCAATTATGGCCATTGCAGCCTCTTCAGTCCCAATATCTGGGTTGGGGATGCATCATTGGTTGCAAGGACACTGGCACATCAATGACAGATTCTTAGCACATACATGCCCTACTCTAAGCACTCTCATTCCCTGTAAGCCAGAGTTGGGCTTAATTACCGCCAGTTTAAATTTGTTGCAACTATAACAGCAGATTTTAAAGAAATGCAATTAAGAACTACTGTATCTGATTCTGTTGCACGTGTCAGAAATGATTGCAAGACTCTCCTAAATTAGATGAGTACGGTATACATAAAAGATAGAAAGTTTTCTATGTCAGAACCTGAGTCTCCTGAGATTTGAAATCAGGTCTCCCACAGACTAGTGGGACACTATCTAGTTGACTGGCCAGCTATTTAAGTCCGCCTTGATTCTTTGCCAGATTATTGTGCTTCAAACATAATCCTACCGACTATCTTATGATACCTCCCCTTCTACTTGGAACTGACCTTGGCTCATGACCCTGACGCCGATTCTCTGATTCTCTGATGCCTGAACTTACCCCTGGCTTGTGATCCCTACAATCATTCTGTGCCTTGTGAGCCGGACTACTTAAGTTCTCTTTCACTAAGAATTGTACCTAGCCTGATGTTTCTGGTTACTGGTCTCCACTCTCTGTAGGTACATTCTTAACATTCTACTTTTTCGTACACCCATTATGCCAGGCATGTCCAAAGTCCGGCCCGCGGGCCATTTACGGCCCGGGGGTCGGTTTAATACGGCCCTCCAACAGCCCTCCCTGCCCTGTGTAATGTGGCCCTCCCACGGCCCTCCCTTTTATGGCAGACAGTCTTCTGCTTGAGAGCAGAGGGCAGAGGGCAGTGCGCATGCCTGACTGCGGCGCGTTCTCCCTGGTCTGTGTAAATGCGGCTGTCGCACGGCCCTCCCTTCTGTGGCAGTCTTCTGCTTGAGAGCAGTGCGCATGCGTGACTGCGCCGCGCTGGGAGCGATAGAGGGCGGTGACGTCAGGGCCGGGCTTCCAGCGTGAAGTGTGTTTCTCTTCCCCTCCTGGCTGCCGAGCAGAGACTTCAGCTCCAGCTACCTTTTTCACCCTTCACATTAGTGCAGGTAAGTTTTTTTTAAATTTATTTTCAACACATTGTGAAAACTCAGCTGTCAGTTGATCTTAATGTTATGAAATGAAAAGTATGTCGTTTGCAATTAACTTGGCATAAAATAATTGATTTGCTTTTAATTGTAATGGTTCAAAGAATGTTCGGAAAAATGTTCGGCCCTCCACCATGTTCACTTCATCCAATCTGGCCCTCTTTGAAAAAAGTTTGGACACCCCCTGCATTATGCTGTACTTGTGTTTACAATACCATCTCCATGCACATGTGTACAGCAGTGCACAATTATTCATGTCATAGGATGGGGGCTCTATGTTGCACCTTATATCAGGAGTCAGCACAGGAAATGACCAGTTACATGTAGCAAAGCACAGAAAATGGGACCAGACTATGTGTATATATCTTTAATCACGTACCCACCGCGGTATGGCAGATATACTGCTACACGGTGGCACGGGTGTGCAAAATCACGTATATATACGTGATTTTGCATTTCCGGGTAGGGGGTGTGCCCTACCCGTGCAGCACAGCCATCCCGATCAGTGTGCTTACAGTGAAGTACACACACCCCACCCCTTAGTAAACCACTCCCTACACACAGTTAACCTTTTTTTACGACCCACACATTAACCCATTCCTGCCCAGTGTCATTAGTACAGTGTCAGTGCTGTTTTTTAACACTGATCACTGTATTGGTATCACTGGGGATGTCAGTGACACCCAGTTAGTTCCCCCCCAGTGTCAGAATGCTGGCCGCAGTCCCACTAAAAGTCACTGATCGCTGCCATTACTAGTAGGAAAAAAAAAAAATCCCAGTACCTATACCGCCATTTGTAAACGCTATAACTTTCACGTAAACCAATTAATTTACACGTATTGAGATTGTTTTTAGCAAAGACATGGAGCAGAATACATTTTGTCCTAAATTTATGACCAAAGTTGATTTTTTTTTAATTTTTACGTGATATGTGTAATAGAAGAAAGTCCAAAATATAGTTTTTTTTCTCAAAATTGTCGGTTGTTTTTTTTGCTTTTAGCGCAAAAAATAAAAAACGCACAGGCGATCAAATATCACCGAAAGAAAGCTCAATCTTCTTCTTCTTCCTTCCTTTCTTTCTTTCTTTTTCTTTTTTTCTTTCTTTCTTTCTTTCTCTTCTTCTTTCTTTCTTTCTTCCTCGAAATCGAAAAAGAAATGAGCGTGAGCTGTGACCTGGAAAGAAAAGAAAATTATTTTTTGTAGCAACATGAGGCGAAATTAAAGGCTTGGTTGGGTGAATTTCTAAATCAATGGTGGCACCATCAGATTACAAAATGCACACAAATTCCAATTTCCTAAAGAAAATTTGCTTGGAATTTGACTTGTGTATGGCCTACA